TTTCAAAGGAAGCCTGGATTTTGCCAAAGTGGTCAGGGAGACTAGGCTTGAGGACGTCTGTTCTTTCTGAACTTGAATTAGATCAGTGAATGAGCCCCCCACCCCCACCCCCACCAGTGGTCAGCTGTAATCCTTGATCCAGAGGGAATCCAGATAAAATCAAGAAGGAATTCTTCTCATTCCCATAAGAGGTTCTTTGTACTGTGTAAACTATTCTGTAAGGGCTTTTTTCTCACCATCAATATCAAAGAAATTAAGGCAACCCAGGAAAGCTTTCAGCGTGCTTTCTATTCGACCCTCCCCATTCAGCCCAAAGCTGTGTGTGTCACAAATATTTCCTAGTGGTCATGGAGAGGTATGATGACATCCTCACTGCTCATTCTCTGGCCTCTTGAAAGCCTACCAGTTCTCTGAGGTGTTAGTATGATTTGCATTTATTTTTGGATTAAGTACTGAGTTTGTGAAAGAAATGTTAATATCCTTAATATCTTTCTATGAACATACATTGACCTTTGGAAAACTTAAATGCCAGAGGCAATACTGATGCTTATACCACAGGGAAAAAATTTCTAAAAAATATTACTGGTATTGAACTCTCTGTATGAAGAATTAGAGTAAAATACTTTTATAAAGGAGGTTGAGCAAAGGTAAGCCTGACTGATCTTTTTCCTCCAAGAGCTCTACCTTTGTTACCCTCTCTTACACAGGAAATATAACACATGTAGCTGTACTGACCGGTCATTGTACAGCTGGGTTTGATAAAAAGGTAGAAGAAAGCAGGTGATGGGCATTGAGGAGGGTGCCTGTTGGGATGAGCACTGGGTGTTGTATGGAAACCAATTTGACAATAAATTTCATATTAAAAAAAAAAAAAAGGTAGAGACATAGCCTGTGGTCCCTCGGGGCTAAAAAAAATGGCCAAAGAATAAGAGTGATAATGAAACGCATTTTTTTTTCCTTCTGATAGAAAAATGAGACAGATATTTGTTCAATGGCACAGTCTGAGAAAAATGTCAGGGAATTTATATGTTCTCACCGTTACTGCTAACGAGAAGCCCAGAGCACGGCAGTCTGTCCCTCACTCCCACCCTCCCTTGCCCTAGCCGCTCCCCCCAGTGCGTCCCCCAACCCCCGTGCTGCCCTGCCACTGCTTGTCTTCTAGAAAGTTTCTCAGAAACCCCACCAGCCCCTGCAGTGGGCTCTTCTTTGAGCACCATGGGACTTAGGATCTGTGCCCCATAATTTACCACTTGATTGTTTAACAACTTATTTGGCTACTCCTCCTCTCTCTTTCTCTCTCTCTGTCTCTCTCTCTCTGATGAGTGTAACTGTTGTCTCCCTTACATAGAGTAGTTTTTTTTTGAGATGAGAATTGTTTCCTACATTTGCTTTCTGTCTCCCAGGGAATCCAGCAGAGTTCCGCCCACTGAAACACTTTGATAAGCGGGCACTAAGTAAACACTCATGGACTCATGTCATGTCCGTGCGGTTCCTTTCCACCATGTCTGCTCATCCAGCTCCATGTGGCCCCCTCCCAGCCCCCCAACACCACTGGACAGTTAGGCGTCCCCACGTGTCCCGGTAATCTTCCCTTGCCCAGATACCCTGGCGTGGGGACGGGTTCTGCATGTGCATGGCTGTGGGAAGCATGGGTGGATGGCCGTCACCTTGCCACGCTGAAAGGCCTCACACGCACCATGATTCCTTGACTCTGTTGTGCTTTGGGCTCTCTCCGAGGTTGGAAATAATCTCCTAACCTTCCCAGACCCAGTCTGCAGAGCACCCCCCCGCCCCATGTCACTACCAGCGTCCCTCACGCC